CCGACACTTCTTTCTTCGTAGTCACGGGGGACGCGTTAATCTTCGGGCCAGACAATGTTCCTTCTTCGATTTGGTTCGCTATTTTAATCGTCTCACAAGCGTCTACCTTTTTGCTCTTTTTCTTTTGTTTCCTTGGGCTGCGTTTCTTATCTTTCCTCTCTTTACAATTCTTTTTCTCCTTGCCGTGTTCAGGCCTGTTATTGTTCTCCTCGTATCCTCCAATAATTAAGTCTCCGTTGGACGTCTCGTCGGCCAGCCCTTCCTTCCTGCCATGAGGTTCCGTCGGAGGCCCCGAGACGAGTGCTGGACCTTGCTTTTGAGTGTGTGTCGATCCGCCTTCCGCCTCCCGTCTACTAAATATCTTAACGTCTTGCGCCTCGTGAGTGCGGTGGCAACGCGGTGGTGCGGGCGCGCGCGTGCTCGCCGCCCCGGCTGGCTGGGGATCCTGCTTGCACTCCTCCGGGGACCTGCAATCTCTGCCTCCACCTTCATCTTTTTTGTTTTCCTGTTCTTTCTCTTCTTCCTCTTCGCGCGACTAATGTAACTCTCTTCGGAGGAGGTGACACTGTTCTGCTGACGCAGCGGCTGCGGCCTCGTGCGGGCAGCGTCCACACACTCGGGCGTGGCGCGCTTCCTGAGTAGCTCCCCGTCGAAGCCGACCGCGCCGATAGGCTCCTGATGCCGGAGCTGCTGGAGGAGGCGGCGCTGGAGGAGGAGTATCTGCCAGAGGTCCTCCTAGCAGAAGAGGACGAGAAGGAGCACTCTGACGAGGAGAGAGTGACATCGTCGCTGGAATAGTCTGTGGACGTGGTGTCGAGAGAGCCTCTAGAGGAGGCAGCGAGGACGGCAATCCTGCGGCATCCCTTCGGCTTCACTGCGGCTTTCGGCGGGCCGCCCGCGTCGCCCCCGACGTTTTTGCTCTCGCTTCCTGTTTCCCACCCTCCCGCAGCTGACTCCTTCAAGGTCAAGTCCGTGCGACCTTTCGCCGCCGCGGCGTTTTCCTTGTTGAGGGCTGAGGACCTCCTCGCCCTCTTCTTGCCCTTCTTATTGGAACGACCGCGATTGCGATAGTGATTCCGTCCGACCATGGCGCTTGGGACGCGGCGCCGCTTCTCTGCACGCACACCGGCACGACTCCTCGAACACTGAGTCACAAACGTTGGGTGCGTTCCCTCGCTGTCACGCCGCTAGTACTCCATCTTGGGAAACAGTTCCGGCGGCGAAGTCTGCCGATAACCCCAAGCTCCCTTGTCGCTTTCTAGGCTTGTATCTTGAATTCGTAAGAGCAACGGCGGAATGCGGGCCAGCGAAGACGCCTCCACGAAGTTGATTCCAGGCTAATGTTATTACTCGACCGCACTAAGTCGCCGGGCGCAACTACATGGCCTCCCTGTGACGCATACACATACAACGTCTCATCACCACGCGCAGCAGAATCCCAAAAGCCAATAATCACACAAATACCACGCCCGCCGCCTCCCCACAACAACAAGAACGAAGAACGAGACTAAAGCGCGAGCACTGTAAGCCGGGCAAGAGCAGGAGATTCCCCCCGCCGCTGTAGCACACGGGATCTGGAGCAGGAGTGAGGACCGAGGAGACGGCCCCAGGTACCTTGACCATCCTCGTCGCAGCCACCACCTGGAGGACACAGGGAGGGGGGGGGGAGAAGAGGGGAGGGCGGGGAGGGGGCGGAAGGGAAAGGGAACACAAGGGGTGCGCGAGGGAGGAAGAAAGAGGGGAGGGCGAGGGGGAGAAGGAAAGAGGGGGTGAGCAAAGGGGGAGGAGGTGGCGAAGGTTACTGGTGACGAATGGGAGGATCGCAAATAGGTTCAAAAGACGGATGATAGACGGCAGGAGAAAAGGGAAACATTGGCCAGGAGAAAAGGCTGAGAAGAAAGAGAGGAACACTGGAGAACAAAAACACGAACGAAGCGAATGAGAGAAAGGGTTAGATGAATTAGGACAAAATGGACACAAGGAAAGGGGAGAGACGCGTTCCCCACGTGCTGTAACGAACCCACGTGGGTGCCCGCTAAAAGCCGGGAACGCGGCGGGAGGGGAGTGGCGGGCGGGGCATGAAGAGGGTATGCAGGGAGGGCAGAGGGGCGAGCGCGAGGGTGACGAGAGGGAGGGTGAGCCTTGGGTGCGGGGCGGGGCTCTCTCACGCCTTCCTCGACATTCCTTTCCTCCCCTTCTCCTGCTCCTAGAATATTCTCCTTCCTGCCTCCCTGCCCTATCCATCTCTTCTCTTCCTCGACAACAAAGCAAACGACGCTGCGATGGGGTGGGTAGGTACATGGGGATGGGTGAGAGGAGGGGGGGTGCTCTGAGTAATGCTTGAGAGAACCGCGCTTCCGGCTGCATTCTTCGCCGGCAACTCGCTCGCGCGCACACACACGCACATATACGCACGCACACACAATCCGGCCGTGACCTTAAACACTCTCTCCATCTATATCCTCTCGAAGACACGGTCACGCCACGCGGCCGTCACTTCCGTGTTATGCCGTGTTATCCGTTCGGCTCGAGGTCAGGCCTGCTCGCCACCCCGAAGGAGCCCCCGCCGCCTCCCAGTAGCCCGCCCATCGCTTAAAGGGGAGGGTCGGTCAGCCGAAAGGTCCTTCGGTCAGTCGCAAAATCCTCGATCAGTCACACTCGCTTCCCGCCCACTTCGACGCTACCCCGGGCCCTTCAGTTATACATGTTAATAACAAGCAAAATTCCCAACGGAGGTAATTAAGTGAAAGTCACCTGGCTAAGAGAGGGGGGGGAGGGGGTGAAAGGAGTCTTCCTAATCATTAACCTTGACTCCTCGTGAGACAGGTGGGTTTGGAGGAAGGGGAGGAGAGGGAAGAGCAGCTGGACGTGCACCGCGGTCAGACGAGGAAGCTCTTCCTGTGTGAGACACAGCGTGGGTTCTCCTTACCGAAAGATAATGGTTCAGAGTCCTAATCGACTATTTTTCTTCCTTATCCTGGAATAACACTTGTCTATCCTAATGGCCCTAGCCCCTATCCTTCCGTAGCTTACGATAACACGCTCCGAGCCTAAAACAACACGGCCAGCTCCACTGCCAACAATACTTTAGTTCCAGCTTCTAACAACATTGTGAAAACACGGTCACAATGCACAGACAGACAGAGACAAATACAAGCGCGCGGCGACAAACACAAGGGAGAGAATAAGCGCGAGGGCACAGACAAAGAAGCCGCAAGCACAACTACAACGCATTTCAATCAGCGCTGATCGTGGGCCCGCAATTACTCCCTCCATTAACACCTCATCAGTTGTGAAAAGCGGACAACGTGGACCAAAGTTCATCTCAAGGCCGTCATGGAAAGGCCAACCCTTGTTATTTCCTAGCACGGGTGGGAGTGGGGGGGGGCGACCCTCGAATCCTTCATGTGATGTAACACATGGTGGAAAATGGAAAGGGAGAAAACTAAAAGATAACTGAGAGACGAAAAAAAATGAGCTGGACGAACCGAAATAGGATGTTCAAAGAAATGGCGATACAAGAATAAGGTAGAGAAACATGAAAATATAAAGGATAGTATTCATTAACAATAAAAAAATAATAAAACGAAATCACTGGACACCAGCCATGGACGGGAGTTAATCAGGCAACAGGTGGACACGGAGTAACATAACCGAGAACCTAAGACGCTTTACTATGGTTTCGAGACAGGACGAATTTCACGCCGTCTTACACATGCGGGGTTTTAAGCCCTGCCAGTTCAGGGCTTGTACAGGTGACCCTGACTGACTTCTAACCCCCAACGCATGCACACACGCAGACACACTGTAACCTCTTTCGCCTGACCTTGTGTGACCTTATATAACCACATTCTCCATCATAAATTGCGAAAACAGTGCCATGAATTTTTAAAAAGTTTTCAAGAAATAAATAATTAAAGTAAGGTAGACAAGAGGAAGTGTGAGGCACGAAGAAAGGAAGGAGAAGAGGAGGGAAGGAAAACAAAGGATATAAACAAAGGAAAAGGAAAAGGAACAGGTTGGGGCACGTGGCAGAGGGGAGGGAATGGAATGAAACAGGAAAGAGGAAGGGAAGGAAACCAGGAACTGGGAGAAGCAAGAGAAATGGAAGGAAATAGGGAAAAAGGGGAAATGAAAGGTAAGAGGCTGGTAAGAAGGAAATAGAATTTCATGTAAACACTCCTCGACCTTATCTAACCTTCTTTTCAAGTCTTACAAAATCGTGTTTGCGCGGAGTGAGTAACAGAGGAATGAAAATCAGAAAGGAAATGAAAAAAATACAGAGGAACAGGCGAAATAATATATAAGAAAAACTTTGCCTTGTCTCCACGGCAGCCCCAAGATACGGGAACTTATGGCACACCGTCGTCACGTGCTAATTGCTAGACGGGATGGAATTTATAATCCCATCTGACAAATATAACCATAACCAAATAATTCACCGGCATCCCAAACGACAAAAAACGCCTCTCAAAGGGGTCTAAAATATAAATCTACCAAAAAAAGACAAACCAGTCGCGGAGCTAAATATACACGACGTGACACGCCACAGCTGCGTCACGTTATGTCATCTTCGCCGGTCTGTGCACAAGTAATATTTTTTATATCTGTACACGAAGATGATGACTTTTATGTGACATTCGTGTATAAGTTTTAACGTAACTAACGAATACATTCACGGATTACACGCCTATTTATGATAAACACACATTCAAACACATCCACATATACAGACACAATGGTGAATGTGACCCAGCAATGCTGGAGAAGCGTGACCCTACACCGCCGGAGGTCACGGGAGCTGCACTTTCCTTCCACCCCTCCCCCCGCCCTCCACAATACGAAGATAAAGTTCGATGCTTTTAAGTTCAAGAACCTCTGCGACTTCCTCGTGGCTCCACCGTAATTAAACGGCTACCTGCTTTCTTTCGTGCTCTTCCTCGTTTTCTGCTCAGTGCTCCTCGGCCTGTTTTACTCCTTTCACAACTCCCTTTCGAAAGAATTTTCACCAAATTTCAACGCCCCTGCAGCTCTTTCGCCAGTGAACTCTTATGCAACTCCAGGCTGTACTCACCCTCCTCGGCCGTGGGCGTTGGGGCGTCGTGGGGGTTGAAGGCTGGCTCCGGTCCTCCTTCGGCGCCACCTGCGATGCCCTCGTCGGAGTCGGAGTCCTGCCCGAGGTTCCTGGGCGCCTCCGAGCCTTCCATGGGTTCGTCGCCGTCCTGAGGGAGGAGAGGGGGGAGATTAGCAGTAAAACCTGTCCAAATGATTTACTAGTGATTAACAGAATGATTAATTCGCTTCCCTCCTCGCCTGTGTACCCGGTCACCCTCAAGCCCTAGAAATAGAAGCAAATTCAATTTCAAAGAGGAGTCAAATGATTCAGCAACAGCAGCAGCAACGGGGATTGAAGTCACGCCGCTGCTTGGCTGCCGCTCAGCGCCACGAGACGGCAGATAAGAAGTGACAGTCTGCTACGTTGTCCCGATACGCTCTGAGAGAGCACAGGGGGAGGGGAGGGCAGCCCAGGATCAAAGGGGGAAGTGACTGCCACGCGACAAGCCTTTATCGCGTGCCTAAGCTGCACACCTGTGCTTCCTTGCCACAACCGATTCTTGAAATCAATTTTCCACTCCTCATACAATAAAGTCTAAAAGACAACAGATAAATAATGTAATATAAAACCTAGGTAATAGAAATGTATCTTCCTTTGAAAGTACTAAACGTTTTTCAGGAAAAAAACTCAATTAAGTAGCTGATGCCTTCACGCTCCCCGCTCGAAAATAATCCCCGACTCAGCGAGAAGCTCGCGGAAACGTCCGCCAGAGATGTTAATTCGAAAAGTTCATCTCATTTTACAAACATGCAGGAAAAAGGCGTAAACATTTATAAATATAAAAAAGTGTCATGCGGGTCGTAACATTACACAAATATATAATTTATACAAATATATATACATACATAAATACATATATATATATATATATATATATATATATATATATATATATATACATACATATATATATATAATTACATATAATATACACATATATACATACATACATTACATATATATACATACATATATATACATACACATATGCATACATACATACATATATATATATATATATATATATATATATATATATATATATATATATATATATATATGTATGTATATATATATATATACTTAAAGTACATATTATAATATATATATATATATATATATATATATATATATACATACACACACACACACACACACACACACACACACACACACACACACACACACACACACATATGTGTGTGTGTGTGTGTGTGTGTGTGTGTGTGTGTGTGTGTGTGTGTGTGTGTTTGTGTGTGTGTGTGTGCTTTGTGGTGTGTTGCTGTGTGTGTGTGTGTATATCCTTAATTCATAGACTCATATGTCCCTTCTACTACTATCTACCTTTTATATATTCATATGATTCGTACTATGATATGTTAAGTATTATATATATTACTCATATATCTCTAATATAATTTATACTTATTATACACTTTTCCTTGTTCCTGTTTGTACTATCTGTTCCTTTCCTTCCCTCTTGCATATCCTTTTCTTCCCTATTACTGTCAGTCATATTTTTTATCTCTTACCTCTTCGATATTGTTATCCGTCATGTTATATCTATAATGTATGTATATATATATGTATGTTTATGTATGTATAATGGTATGTATTAATAATAAATAAATAATAAATATAATTTGGTTAATATATACTTAATTAAATATGTTATATGTTAAATGTATAATGTCAGGGATATAGCACTAATGACGTCAGCAAGCGAATTAACATTCATCATATGCATAAACTAACGTCATACTATACATACAAAACAATCAAAGTACTACAAGCAGTTGTTGAAAATAAGCATTAACTGACGAGAGTAACAGAGAAGCACTGAGTAGCGAGAGTTAGAGAGAGAGATATAGATAATATTATAGAGATGAGAGTACGTATAAGAGAGTAAGTAGAAGGGAGGGAGATGAGAGAGAGATAGTGTATGTAATAGAGATATATATAGAGACGTAGGAGAGAGAAGAGAGAGAGAGAGTAGCGAGACGGAGAGAGACACATAAGACGTAAGAAGAAGAAAATTGAAATTGAGAGGTGAGTAGAGAAGAGTATTAGAGAAAAAGAGACAGTAGGACAGGAGTTTGATGTGAAGTGTGACTGAGTGAGTGAGTGAGCGAGAGAAGAATGAAGAGAGAGATGAGGAGTAAGAGAGAGATAGAGAAGAGAAGAGAGAGAGGAGTAAGGATGTAGAGACGACAGAGACAGAGAGAGATGACTACAGAGAGAGAGTGAAAGAGACTCATTAGAAGACATATAGATGACTAATATAATATAAGAGATCAGATAGTAATTAGAGACAGATAGAACGTGTAGTATTGAGTATGAGTTGACGATAGAGTGAGAGAGACAGCAAGACGAACGAACGCACACACACACACAAGCAGACGATGAACGAGAGAGAGAGCGAGCAAAGAGAAGTGAAGAGAAGAGATGAGTAGGAAGAAGAAGAGACAGAGAGAGAAGAACATGAAGGAGAGGGGTATCCAGAGACAGAGAAGAGATACTATAGGATACTAGTGAGACATGTGTAGTGTGATGGTGTGTAGTGTGTGTGTGGTGAGTGTGTGAGTGTGATGGTGTGGTGTGTAGTAGTGTGTGAGTGGTGTGTTGATTTGTGTGTGTACGTGATAGATATGTAATGAGTGAGATTAAAGAGCAAGTAAGAGAGAGAGAGATAGGAGATATAGCAGAGAAGAGAGGTGAAAGAGAGAAAGAGAGATATAATGAGGCCATAGCTTTGAAGTTGAGTGTAGAGAGAGAGAGAGATGAAGAGAGAGAGAGAGAGAAGTGAGAGTGAGGAGTGGAGTGGAGAGTGAGAGTGAGAGTGAGGTGAGAGAGAGAGAGAGATGATATGTATGAAGACAGGAGAGAGAGAGTAATAGCTCATAGAGCCAATATCGATAGTAAGTATTTAGTACAATATAGTATGAAGAGCATTGAAGTATAAGTATGAGAGAGCAGTATAAGAGTAGAGAGTGAGAGTGAGAGTGAGAGTTGAAGCAGATATAGACGCATAACAGATGAATAGATGAGTATACAGACACAGTATCATACATGTATAGCTATACAACACACGAGATACAATAAATAGATGTATAATAGAAGAAGCCAAGAATATAGAGACGAGAGATAGATAGAGAATGAGAGAAGAGAAGGAGAAAGAAGAAAGAGACTATAGTAGATACATGTACCAATGAACATATAGAAAGAGGATATAGAGAAGACAATATGAAGAGATGATGATAAAGGAGATAAAATAGCAAATAGACTAACAGAAGAAAGAAAAGATACTAATTCATGAATAGTATAGACATAAGTACATACAATATAGATACAAATCATAGATATATACGATATAACATAATATGAAAGCATAAAATAAGACAATAAATATAAGATACCCATATAATATAGAATATTAATAACATATATGAGAAAGTAGTAACGTATATATATAATGCAATAGATTATAAAAAACAATATAATAAAAAAAAAAAAAAATACAGATAATAATTAATAAAATAGATGTGAAAGAAACAGTATACATATATAAAGTAAATGCATATAATATATACACTAAACATATATATACATATATAACAACAATATACAATATATACATATTACACATATACACTATAGTAACATAATATACAACATATACTTATATATACAGTAAACTACATAGTGATATACGCATATACATATTACACACTATACATATTATATAACACATATATACACTATACATATTATACTTACATACTCATATATACTATACCGTACGGTTTTACAAATATAGCTAACCTACGGAACCGTGATACAACTTACCTTATCAGACGTTGACATATAAATACATACATACATACTAGTATACTAGTTAAAATATATGTATGTGGGACGTCGGGCGTATAACTGGCGTGCTTATATATTATATATAATTACATTACATGATACAGTACATACATCTATATCTATCTATGCTATATTTATAGCTAGACACTAGTATAATACAATTATATATATACCTCGTATATTTTCATCTCCTCTTTACCCAACAACATGTATATTATAAAGTCTACGCAGCGCGACATACATATATTATATATATTATATAGCATATACATATAGTACCGCTCCCTATAAACATACATAACCTACTCATCGTACTAGCATTAAACTCACATATAGCTACACTAGAACATACTATATTTCTACTACACTATATTGCTTTACTTTTCATTTAAACTTATATTTTACTTATTCATTCTTTCATCTATATACATAATATATATCTATATACCTCATACATATACTTCTCTACTCTACATTACATACCAGAAACCACCCACCACACATATTATATATCTATACCAAGTATATTATACTATATATATATATATACTAATAACACTACCTGTTTTTATTGTCTATATACTCTGCGTTTTCCATGTTTTATGCTGCTGTGCTATACTACTATCACTCTTTTCCTACTTTTATCATCCTCGTTATATATATATATCTATTAGGATATATATATATATTTACTTCATATCTATCTTTCTCTATACGATCGAACACACTCCAACTCCCATCACCTCCCACATAACGCGCACACACATGTTACATATATTATATAATGCATAATACATACATATATAATTTATA